ATTGTGAATTATGTGATAGTTTACATAGGAGAACATTAGCTTTACGTTCATCCTATCATATTTCATTGTCATGATTACAATTCCCTCCATGCATCATCAAACAACCAAAGGGTATACCCCATAAGCCTGCCCCTCAGTCATCAGCACACAGCCCCTCCCTTGCTCTCTCTGGAACTAGAGTACCCTGCCGTCCCATCTTTCCACGTCGTCTCTGCCTCCATCTCTGGTGTCACTGTTTCTCTGGATAGGGTCCTACACTCCACTCTTCTCCCTTGATGGTCCCAGGGACCTCTGGTCCTGGACTACAAAATCAACCATTCCCCTCCTTTAGCTGCAAACCGTCTACCTTTACATTTCCAACCCTCACAAGCAGTCCTGATAGTAATTATTCACAGTTGTGCCACAAGAGTCCCATCCCCATCTCCTTTCATCAGTCCCGCACAGACAGACTGGATGCTACTTAGTAGAGATTCTACCTTCCTCTGCGCCCTCTGGATCTAGGCTCCCTCTTGAAAGCTTGTAAGCCAGTCACTTCTTGCCTTAGTAGCATCCCCATTTTGGGTAGCCAGTGTCCAAGTTGCCCGTCCCTATCTACTCTGTGTATGGAGGGGTGGGAATGATCTTTGCTGTAAAGATTTATTCCTTCTTTTGAGCTACTGCATCCATAGGTGTAGGTCAAGTTCATCAAATTGTATCAGGTTACTCTTTTTTTCCTCTTCTTTCTTCTTCTAATAGAGTTCTGATCATCCATCCATTGAAGCCAGGTCAAGTGGGTATTATCTGCAAGTGTGGGTGTTCTTGTGCATATGGCCTCACTTCTTATCAGCTGGACTCTTAACTTTCCACTCTAGTCCTGTGTGGCTATGTCACTGATTCTGGGCTCAGGAGTCCCCAGGTCTTTCCATAATGCTGGCCAACCAGGTCTCCACCTGGGTTCACAGGAGTCTGTTGAATATGGTCGAACTTAGCTGACAACTTCATTGCTGTTTTTCCCTTACTTCCCCTTATCAGTGACCAATGTGGTCATCAGTCAGAGAGCATGTGTGAGCATGTTTTTCCCTTGAGTCTTAGTCTTGGAAGGGGGTTTGCCCTTAGAGGACCCGACCACTTGCCTTGATGTCTCTTGGGCAAGCAACTTGCTTGTTCTTATAGTAGTTGGTCGGACTGCCGTTATTTTTATTTTTGTTCTTGCTTTCAAGAAGTACCGTCTGTTCTTGTAACTGCTCCAGGCTGGTCTGCTTGTCCTTTCAAATGGAGATTTCCCACCTCAGAATATTCTGGATGGGGTTCAGGACTCCACCTATGGTCTTATGCAATTCAAAGGCTCCACAGGAATCCTCCTTCCCTGGGCACATAGTAGCCCCATTTTAGGTATTCCAATCAGTTTTAGGTAGAAGACGGAATTGCAAGCTTTCTATGTTGATATTTCTGTCTATTTCTTTCTCTCCCCCTCTAGTGTCTATTTTACAATGGTATGCAAGGAAAACCAAGATTCAAAAGACAGCCAAGCATCTTAACATTTTCCCCACTCTTCCACCCATTCAAACCATGTCTCAATCCCTGTATCCCAGAGCCCTGTTGTTCCAGGGTTGTACATACATCATTATTTACCTCTGTCCCACTTAGCCCATGCAAACCTGCCTGTTTTCCCATCTGCGTTGTTCTTCCATTCCCCTCCCCCTTCTTGTGTATTGTCCCCCTTCCCAGCACCCAAACTATCCTGTGTCTATTCCCTTCCTTGTGCTCCGCTTTCCCTCCTTCCCCTCACCCTACCTCCCACATCCCAGTAACCAGCAAAGAAATTGCCCCCCACCCCTTTTAGTATGGATTCTTTTTCTTAGTCTTTTACAGTAGTGGTCCTATGCAGTATTTCTCCTTTTGTGACTGACTAACTTCACTCATCATAATGTCCTCAAGGTTCATTCATGTTTTGCGGTGGCTTGCAGCTTCCTTGTTATTCTTCAAGGTAGCATAATATTCCGTTTTGTGTGTGTACCAAAGTTTGTTTATCTGTTCTTCAATTGATGGTCACTTAGGCTGTCTCATCTTTTTGCTATTATAAATAGTACTGCTGTGAACATTGGTGTGCATATATCTATTCATGTTGTGGCTCATATTTCTTGTGGGTAAATGCAAAGTAGAGGAATTGCTATATCATAATGTATTTCTATTTCCAGCCTTCTGAGGAAGCGCCATATTGCTTTCCAAAGTGGTTGGACCATTTTGCAATCCCACCAGCAATGCAGGAGCGCATGCTGTCAATTTTGGAAAAATCTCAACTTTTTATCTCTTTAAACTGGGAAAATGATTGTTTCATAGTTAATCTTTATGCTTGAAATCCTTAAGGGTTTTCACACATGAAATTTTTATTTCCTTTCATGCCTCCGTATATTTGTGCTTTATTCATTGTTCTGGAAAGATTGTCAGCTGGACTTTGTGAGGCTTGGAATGAAGGCACAGCTTGGAATGAAGGCACAGGTTTACCTTTGCCTTTTCCAGCTACCTAGAAGCACTAGCACTCGTGTGTCACTGTAGGATATGCAATGGACTGCCAACTGAAAGGTTGGTAGTTAAAACCCACCAAGGACTCCTTGGAAACCCTAAACAGGGTCACAGTGAAACAGAACCTATTTAATGGCACTCAGCAACAACAAAAACAATTCCAGTCAAGTTAACCTTACATTCACATTTTCAATTTTCTTTAACAACCTTGCAAATTACATGATGTGTTGTTTTTGTTAACAGATTTTATCAGCTTATGATAGAAGATGTTTTGGATGCTTTCCCTTCTAAAGACACATACACACACTAACTGTGGTCAACGTCAAGGAAACTTGGTTTGCACTTCTCTTGCTCACGCATGAGACTGCTTGTTAACCCTAGCTCTGATAGTTTAGTTCTTTAGAGTCCCAGCTGTGTAGTGGATGCAGAAATTGGGAAGAGAGGTGATTTCTTAATACACTCATTCCTTCCTTTGGGTAGCCTTAGGCATTGTTTTCTAGTTCCCTAATATCTCACAAAACGCACTGTTGTGGTCCAGTTTCTCTTAGTACTGCAAATACACTGAAGGCAAAAGCAATTTTCTTGAGCAACTTACATCTCCAGGTTCCTTAACTTCTCCTAGAAATGACCTGATTTTCTTCATTTGATATTTTACAAAATATGATTTCTGTATTTTACCCATAATTTTTCATTGTTTTCTACAGGGAAATGGATTCTGATAGCCTCATTTGTTTTATTACTAGAATGAATTGCTGCACTTTTTTTTTATTTATTAAGCTTAAAAGTAAGAAAGTCATTGCGCTTCATCTTAAGGAGCCCTGCTCAAGTGATTGGCAGCTAACTGGAAGATTTGTGGTTTGAACCCACCAGCTGCTCTGTGGGAGATAGACGTGGCAGTCTGTTCACAGATAGATTGTTGTTAAGTGTTGTCAAGTTGGTTCTGATTCACAGCGACCCTGTCTAGCGTTTCCAAGGAGTGGCTGCTGAGCTTGAACTGCCAACTTTACGTTTCAAACCGACCTTGTGGTCCAACACATTAACTCTCTTGGAAATCCTCTGGGGCAGTAACGTAGGGTCACCAAGAGTTTAAATGGACTCAGTGGCAACACGGGGGTCTTTTTTTGTGTTTTTTTTTGGCATCGAGCACTTCATTTTAGCAAGTTCCTAATGAAATGAGTATTTTAGGCATGTACTACATTAAGATATTTCTTGACATATGTCATATTTTTCCAGTTTCTTATGCATGCAAATATAAGTATTACTTATGAATAATAAAATATTTTTTTCAAATTTGATTTTTAAAACCGTTTGTCTTTTGTGATTTATTTAGGACTCTGCTTCAGTGCTTAGGAGCTGAGAAAAATGGCAAATGTGGATAATGAGTCTAGGCATCTTCTCACCTCTGAGGAAGATCTTGAAGTAAATCCTGGACCTTTGAATATCCAGTTCGATCCATCAGATCTGAGATCTAAAAGGTATGTGCTTAAATAATATACTTATTACATAATTTGGGTTTTTAATGATTTGTTGTTGTTATGTACCGTCAAGGTAGTTCCAACTTATAGTGACCCTCTGTGTTAGGTTTCTGAGGAGCAGCTGGTGTGTTTGAACTGACAACTTTATGGTTCAAAGTCCAAGGCTGATTCTGTAGTGCCACACCAGGAATCCGTTTTAATGATTTAAATAGGACTGATGTGACCAGGGCGTCCTGGTGTGGCGCTGTGGGTTAATGCGACAGATTACAAAGCTGTTTGAGCTGCAAGGTTGGCAGTTCAAGCTCACCAGCCACTCCTAGGAAACCCTATACAGGGTCGCTATGGGTCGGAACTGACTCGACGGCACTTAACAACAACAACAATGTTACCAGAGTGCTCCTTGGAGGCCAGGATGGCCAAACTTCATCTCTCATACTTCGGATATACTGTCAGGAGGGACCAGTTGCTGGAGAAGGATATCATGTTTGGTAAGGTGGAGGGTCAGAGAAAAAGAGGAAGACCTCCAGCAAGATGGATTAGCAAAGTGGCAGCTTCAAAAGGCTGTGGCATGGAAACAGTTGTTAGGTTGGCCCAGGACTGGGCAGTGTATTGTTCTGTTGTACATAGGGTCACTATGAGTTGGTACCAACTCGATGGCACCTAACAACAACAACAACAATGTGACCAAACTGAGCCCTGGTATGGCACTGTAGAATAAGCACCAAACTGGTAACAGCAAAGTCAGAAGTTCAAACCCACCATGCGCTCTCAGAAACCCTGTCTAGGTTGCTATGAGTTGGAAAGACTCGACAGTACACAACAACAACAAACAAAACATTGATGACTAGGCATACACATATTTGATTATAAAATAATCCACTTTTTAATAGGATTTGTAGATATGTATGTTTATGAAGGAAGGAATAAATATGAATACTATTTCCTATTTCCTCATTCATGGTTTTGGTTTTTTCTAAAACTAAATATAACATCTCTTTAGAGGGAGGCATTAGGGTCAGTTTTAAGAAGTAAAATGCATTCATATAATTTATTTGTCAAATAATATTAATTACCTGTTTTGTGCAAGGTAATATGGTAGGTGCTGGGATAGAACAGTAGATGTAATAGACACAATCGTTACCTTCATTAGGCTTATATCTAGCAAATGGTTTAAAATAATTTAGGTGTAGATTTTGTTATTGCGTACCTGAAAACCCCAAAAGATTTATTGAAAAGTTATTTTTTTCAATAACGTGGCTGCTCATAAAATTGGTTGTGTGCCATGGAGTTGGTTCCAACTTATAGTGACACATGGTTTCTGAGGCTGTAAGTCTTTACAGGAGCAGAAAGTCTCAGATTTCTCCTGTGGAACTTCTGGTAGTTTCTAACTGCTGACCTTGAGGTTAGCTGCCTGACTCATAACCACTATGCTACCAGAGCTCTTTGCTCATAAAATTAGGCAAAGATAGTCTTCCAGTAAGAAAATGTCAAAGAAGGAAAGATTACACACATAGGAATAACTTTAAAAAGAATGTGCAAAATCTATATGAGAGAAATTTGTACATGCTCTTGTGAGTCATACAATATGAGATTATTTCATTAAGTCTGAGATGCTGATTAAAAGTTACACTATTTGCTTCTTAAAATGTAACAAGAAGAAAGAAAAACTTCTGCCAGCATCTCTAATGCAGCAGTTTCTATGACTTAAAATTTTTATTTTACATCAATACAAGAACTCTTGGACTTATTTGACAGAAATATCAGTTAAGATATTTTTAATACGTCACCTTTAGAGTTGGATATTGCTGGATTGCTTTTTAACTTGAATTCATCAGAATCAGCTCTTTTTTCTATGCAAAGTCATCCTGTTTCAGTGATGATGTAGCATTATTCAGAAGGACTTTCTTTTGAATCGCTGACACTTTTCTTTAATTGAAACTTTCACTTCCTTAATCTTCCCAGTAGGTGTCGCAGATTTTCCAACAAAAACATGACTCATTTTTCTTTTTCAAATGATGATTTCAATGACCAGGGTTAGCAGTTACTTGTCATGCCATCATGAATAACCACCAAATTTATACGCAGGTAGAGACTGTTACTGTTGTTAAGTGCCATCCAGTTGGTTCCAACTCATAGCAACCCTGTATGGGGGTTCCAAGGAATGGCTGGTAGATTGAACAACGTTGTGGTTAGTAGTCCAGTGTGTTTCCTACAGCACTACACCAGGATAATAAAATATATCCTATCATTTTCACTAGCATGTTATGCTATTAGTGAATATAAAAATGCATGAATGCTGATTGAATGCTCAGAGTTTTCATGAACCCTCTAAATTCTATGATTAATAATTGACCACTGTGACAATAGAACATAGGTCAAAAATTCTATTCCAATAAGTCGACAGGAGTTCAAACAGCTCTCTGATATATAACTGTGTAGATTAAATGGAAATATATATTCTATAATGAAACGTGTCAAAATTAGAGGGAATCAACAATTTACAATCATGGCATAACTACCTAGGTAAGCATTTCTTAATAGGGATTTAGCAGTATTAAATGCTAATTTGTGAAATAATTTCTATGTGTAAGTAAATGTAACTATTATTTGATGAGAAAAAAATGTAAACATTGCTGTGTCAATTAAATTATGGATTGTTTCACTTATAATAACATAAATAAAACTCAGGGAGGAGTATCTTTTATTAGAAGAGTCAGCTTAGGCCACTATTTCTGAACCTCAGTTATTTGTGGGTCACATATCCCAGTACTCTCTGTGTATTTTTATACCATAGTATTTTTTCATGAAATCTATTAATTGTTTTAAATTGAGACTGATTAAAACTGATTTTAAATCGTAATTATTTGAGAAATGATGGATTTGAGGAATTTATATACTTTCCTAATATTCTTAGATATAGATACCAAGTAATTAACGTTCTGTCTAAAATAATCTTGTGTATATTTAAATAAATCCTTTTAGCTGTTGAATAGTTTCTCAAACTATAGCTGCAGTATCATTTTAGTACAAGCATGAATGTCACATTACTTTTTTCTTATATCAGTAAATGTTAGGAAAATATGCAAACAACACTACAAATCCATCATTTCACAAATCGTGACTACTAAAGACCAAGCTTAATTAACTCTTAATTTTAAAGAGTAAATAGATGTAAAAGAAATACTAAATTATAGTATTACACAGGTGATACTGCAATATGGCAGAAGTCAAAGTGACCCTAAATAAGTTGTGTTTAAGAAACAGTGGTCAAAGTTGGTTGGGATCCCTGGTCATGCCATGGTTCAAGCACTCCACTTATATGCCAAAAGGACAGTTGTAACCCACTAGCATTTCCACTGGGGAAAGATGGGGCAGTTTGCTCCCATCAAAGTTAAAGTCTTGGAAGCCTTATGAGACAGTTCTACTTTGTCCTATAAGGTCACTATGGGTCATAATCAATTTGATGGCAGTGGGTTTGTTTAGTTGGTTGGTTTTTATCCACATTTTGTGGTTTTCTGTTTCATCCACTAGGTGGGTTTTTTTTGTTGTTCAAAGGTAAGAATTTTAATAACTGCTTTGGATGGAAAAATACTGTGCTGAATCTGTTTTGTCATTTTTTTCTGGAACTGGAGTTGAAACTTAGGAAATAGCAGAAGTTGTCATTCTAAGGGACATAGGGACCATTTGGAGAACTTTTTCAAACTACATGGGTTCACATTTCCCTCTTTTATAACCCCTTCCCCAGGGAGCGTACTGGCTCTGTAGGATAAGCACTGGATTGCCAGCCACAAGGTCAGCAGTTTGCTTACTATCTGAGGAAGAAGCATAAGATTGTTTGCTCTTGAGAAGATGTACAGGTTTGCTATAAGTCAGAACTGACTAATGGCATTTAACAACACCCTCTCCCCCATAATTTTTTCATCTAGTTTGATATGGAGTGACAACAGTTGTGGTGTGACTCTGTAGGATAATCTAACCACAAGGTCAGCAGTTCAAACCCACTAGTCACTCCTCAGAAACCCTAAACAGGGTTGCTATGAGTTGGAACTGATTCGATGGCAATGCAATATGCTATATTTGACATAATCCATGGGTAAACGCTAGTCTACATTTCCTAGGCTGTCTGGTAACCAAAGATACAGCTGGTATTCAGGATTGCTTCATTTTTGTCTTTTGGGGGTTGGCCATCCCACTCAGCCTCAAACCAAATTGTGATGTGGTTAGTTTGTATTTGAATCTTCCTTTTCGTCTTTCTCTACCTCTATTTAATCTTCTTTCATTTTTTCCAGGGCCTGGGCCTTTCATGTCTTGTCTATATGTCTGAGTATTACCCAAGGCAGGCATTCACACTAGTGAAGTTTGGTTTACTTGGCAATGCTTTGTAAACCATACTTTTCTTCTACCTTAAATTTTAGTACTTGTCTGACCTATTTTTGCTGGACTCTGCTGTCATCTTGGTGTTATAGTGAAAAACCATTTGATGTGTGAGAGACCTAATCCACTAACTTTTTGTGGATGTTTGTATTTTAACATGGAGAATCTTAGAAATAAAATATCCTAACCAGAGATAAAGAAGAAGACCCCCAACGAGATCTATTGGCCAAGTGGCAGCATTGATGAACTCAAGTGTGGCAACAATAGTGAGGTTGGCCCAGGATTGGGCAGTGTTTCATTCTGCTGTGCATAAGAATGCTATGACTCGATGACACCTAACAACAACAACCTAAAAGTGAGATATTTATAATTTATAGTATTTCAAACACTGATAAGCCAGAGAGGGTAGAGATAAATATTTAAAATAGCGTTACTAATATCCCTCAAGGAGCTCTGGTAGCGTAGTGGTTACGAATCGGGCTGCGAACCATAAGGTCAGCAGTTCGAAACTACCAGCTGCTCTGCGGGAGAAAGATGAGGCTTTCTACTCCCGTAAGGATTTACACCCTCGGAAACCCTGTACAGGGTCGCTATGGGTCGGAACCGACTCGAAGGCACTTAACAAC